AAGTGAATGGGTAGAAAGACTCCCAAACTTATCCTTAGAGCAGCATTATCCTAATTCCCAAACCAGATAAAGGCACCAGAATAAAAGAAAACTACATTCAAATAGCCCTAATGAACATAGACGCTAAAGTCCTCAATAAAAAAATTGCAAACTGGATCTAGTAAGATATTAAAAAGATCATACACCATAATCAAGCAGGATTTATGTCAGTGATGCAAGGTTGCTACAATATCCAAAAACTAAAAAACATGATACACTACACACAGTAAAAGTCCCATGATCATATCATTACACGCAGAAAATCATTTGATAAAATCCAGTACTGATTTATGATGAAAATGTTTAGCATAGTGTTAATAGAAAAAATATACCTCAATAAAATCAAGGCCATATATGACAAACCCATAGCCAACATCATACTCAATGGGCAAAAACTAAGTGTGTCCCTAAGATAGGAAACAAAACAGGATGTTTACATCTTTTATTCAACATAGTACTGAAAGTCCTAGCCACAGCAATTTGAGAAGAAGAAGTAAAAGGCATCCAAATCAGAACAAAAGAAGTAAAATTATCAGTATTTGCACATGACATGTTATTGTACATAGAGAACTGTAAAGATTCTACCAAAAAACTACAGAACTGATGAATAAAGTAATATAGTAGGGTACAAAATAAACATCCAGAGATCATTTGTACTCCATATACAAGTAAAAAAGTATCAGAAGGGGTAACTAAAAAAATCCCATGTATAGTTACATCAAAAAATACCTTGGAATAAATTTAGCCAAGGAATGTAAAAACCAGTACTCAGAAAGTTATAAGAAAATAGAGCAATTGAGGAAGACACAAATAAGTAAAAGTATGTACTATGCTCATGGATAGAAAAAAAATTAGTATTGTTAAAATGTCCATAACCCAAATCATTCTACACATTCAATGCAATCTCTGTCAAAAAACCAAAGGCATTTTTCACAGAACTACAAGGAAGAATCCTAAAATTTATATGGAAACACAAAAGACACCAAATAGCCTCAATAATTTTGACAAAGAAGAACAAAGTCAGAGGTATTAATATTATGCTACCTGACATCAAATTATACTACAAGGCTATAGTAATCAAAACAGCATGGTACCATCATAAAAGCAGACTCAGAGATTAATGGAACACAACAGAGAGCTCAGAAATAAACCCACACCTGTATGGTCAATCAATCTATGATAAAGGATGCAAGAATATACAAAGGGGTACAAAAAGTCTATTCAATAAATGGTGCTGGGAAAACTAGACAGATATATGCCACAAAAAAATGAAGCTAGACTACTTTCTTAAACCATACACAAGAATAAAATCAATATAGATTACAGACTTAAATATAAGACCTGAAACCATAAAACCCTTAAGAGAAAACAGAGGTAGTAAACTCTCTGACATGGCTCTTAATAATATTTTTTCTGATAGCTGTCCTGGGGCAAGAGCAACAAAAGAAAAAAAATAACACACAGGACTAATCAAACTAAAAAGTGTTTTCCACTGTGAGAGACACCATTAACAAAATGAAAAGCCAACCTACTAAATGAGAAAAGATATATTTGCAAATGACACATCCAATCAGAGGTTAATATCCAAAGTATATAGAGAACTCATACAACTTAATGCCAAAAAATCCAATTTAAAAATGGGTAGAGGGTCTAAATAGACACTTCTCCAAAGAGAACATACAAGTCATACAGATGGCCAGCAGGCATATAAAAAGATGTTCAACATCATTAATCATTAGGGAAATGACAAAGCCACAATGAAATATCACTCCCTACATCTCAGCATGGCTACCATCAATAAATCCACACATGACAAGTGCTGATGCGGATGTGAAGAAAAGGGAGCCCTTGTGCATTACTGGTGGGACTAAAAACTGATGCAGCCATTATGGAAAATAGTATGGAGGCTCCTCAAAATATTAACAATTGCTCTGACTCATGTGGCTCAGTTGGTTGGGCATTGTACAGCAAATCAAAAGGTCATCAGTTCGATCTACTGTCCAGGGCACATGCCTGGATTGCAGGTTCAGTTATTGTCAGGGCACATGCTAGAGACAACTGATCAATGTTTCTCTCTCACATCAATGTTTCTCACCTTCTCTTTATCCCTCCCTTTGTAATAGGGTGCAGCCAAGGGGAGAGACCCCCAAATAGGGATTTGTAATGGTGTCCAGAACTCGGTGTCCAGGAAATATTATATATATATAATCTCCTCACCCCCACAAGTCTGAGCTGGGGGATGGGATGCATGGAGCAAGGCCATTGAGAGCTGTTTAACATAGCAACAGTTTTGCAGATAACCTCTAGAATGATTATTTAATATACCTATAACCTTTAACTAGTTTCATAGATATGGTAAACCGCTGTGACCATGCTTTGAGCCAGAGAGATGGGAATGACTTCAACCTATGATGTAACTGGGAGGCAGCTTGCCCTGGTTACAGAGCCTGGAGATGATTGGCTCCACACCACAGGGCCACACTTGCCTGGACTTAGTATGGCAGCCCAGTAAAGCTGGAAAACTACGGGAATGCTGGCAGCTGTGGCCAATTGTGGGAGAAGTTAGAAATGGTGCGGCAGGGGAAGATTGCCACTGGGATTTAAACCCAGGCATGGCAGCCATGCAGGGTCTTTTTGGGACCACTCGGCTTGGGCAGAGAAGGACCACAGACTTCTACTTTTTCTGAGATATAGTACCTGGGACTGGGCCCAGGGGGAAGGAAGGACTGTGAGTTTGTGGGTATTCTAAAGGACTTTGGGATCTCAATGAAGACATTAAGTTATAACTCTTAAGTTTGTATAACTCTTTAAATAAATCATCCCTCTCCTTTTTGCTGATCTCTGGCATTGAGAGACGTCTTTCCCTGACTGTGGGCAAGGTGAACCTACTACGGGGTGGGGGATCCCTGGAGCACAAGGGTGGGTCCATTCAGTAATAGTATATTGTTCATCCTCCTTGGGTCTATTCTGTAACACCTTTCCTTCTTTCTAAAAATGAATTAAAAATCTAAAAAAAATACTACATGACCCAGCAACCCACTTCTGGGTGTTTATACAGAGAAAATGAAAATTTAAAAAAAAAAACAACAAGATATGTGCACCCCTGTGTTCACTGAAGAACTATTTATGGTCCTCCAGATATGGAAGCAAACTAAGTGCCCATTGTTAGATGAGTGTATAAATACATGTAGTACGTATATACAATGAAAAAATACTAGGCTTCAAAATTGAAATCTTGCCATTTGTGACAACATGAGGAGACCTAGAGTGTATTATGCTGAGAGAACTAAGTCAGACAGAGACAAATACCCTATAATTTCACTCATATGTGGACTCTAAAAAACAAAACAAACAAAACAAAAAAGCAGATATAAACTCTGAGAGATAGCCAACCTATGAGATGTAGAATTCAAACACTGGTAATCAGGATGCTCACAGAAATTATTGAGTATGGCCACAAGATAAAGGAAGAAGTGAAGGCTACACACAATGAAACAAAGAAAAATATACAGGGAACCAACAGTGATGGGAAGGAAAATGGGACTCAAATCAATGATTTGGAAGACAAGAAAGAATAAACATTCAACTGGAGCAGAATGAATAAACAAGAATTCAAAAAACTGATGACAGGTTTAGAAACCACTAGGACAACTTCAAACATTTCAACATCCAAATCATAGGGGTGGCAGAAGGAGAAGAACAAGAGTAAGAAATTGAAAACTTATTTGAAAACATAATGAAGGATAACTTCCCCAAACTGGCAAAGGAAATAGACTCCCAGGAAATCAAGGAAGCCCAGAGAGTCCTAAAGAAGTTGGACCCAAGGATGAATACACCAAGTCAAACCATAATTAAATTACCCAAGATTAAAGATGAGGAAAAAAAATCTTAAAAGCAGCAAGAGAAAAGGAAGCAGTTACCTACAAAGGAGTTCCCGTAAGACTATCTGCTGATTTCTCAAAAGAAAACTTACAGGCAAAAATGGGCTGGAATGAAGTATTTCAAGTCATGAAAGGCAAGGATCTACATCCAAGGTTACTCTATCCAGCAAAGCTATCATTTAGAATATAAGGGAAGATAAAGTGCTTCCCAGATAAGGTTAGGATAAAAAAGTTCATTATCACCAAGCCCTTATTATATAAGAAAAAGAAGAACATGAAAAACATGAATAGTAAAGTAAAAACAAACTCACAATTATTAACAACAGAAGTTAAAAAAGCAAAAACAAAAATTAAGTATACAACTAAAACAGAAACAGATTCACAGAAACGTAGATCACATGGTGGATTGTCAGTAGAGAAAAAGAAAGGGGAGAATGAAGGAAAAGAATGGATAAGATGCATAAATGGTAGGTACAAAATACACAATAGGAGATTAAGAATAGTAAAGAAAATGAAGAAGCCAAAGAAATTCTCTATAAAACCAATAGACATGAAATAAGTTGAAGGAAAACAATGTGGGTAGGATGGGATGTGTAGGGCAGAGGGAAAACACAGGAGGGGAATGGGAAACCTGTAATAGCATAATAAATAAAATATACTTTAAAAAAGTTGCAAAGAGGGACTTACGATGCTGATGACGATGGAAGGCTGTTATATCACTACACTATACATCTGAATTAATATGACATTCATGTAACAATAATGGTTCATACCCTGAAACACAAGTACAGTCAAATAATTACATCTGACAAGCCTCCACCACTTCAGAACACAGGCACCCAAAAAGACTCTCCTAAACACAGGACAATGCACTCAAAGAGAGGAGCTCGTATGACCATGAAGACATAGGAGTGGTATAGAAAGGAAAGCTATCTCCCTCACATATAAACAACCCTTTCTTGCGTGACTGGGCCAGAAGGCTGTCTCGTGAGTCTAACAAGAAAGCAACAAAATGTATGGCCAATAATATGCCAACTAACCAACTCATAAGAAGAAAAAATGACTACCTAAACTACTGACCTGAGACGGCCAGGCTGAAGGTGACCCTCTGGCCCGCAGCCTCGCAGCTGTACTCCCCGCCGTCCGCCTTCCCTGCCTGCGGCAGCACCAGCCGCCGGGTGCAGCCCGTGGCCTCCACGCGCACTTTCGAGCTCCCACTCAGCTTCTTGCCGTCCTTGTACCACGTCACCTGCGTCTGGGCCTGGGCCACCTCGCAGCTCAGCGTGGCGATGGCCCCCCGCCTCGGCCTGCACCTGATTGTGGGCCGGCTGCTCCTTGGCAAACACCACCGTGGGCTCTGGGGGGGCAGGGAGGGAAGCACAGGGTCAGACACTTCCTCAAAGTCAGGAGCTGAGGAGGCACTGAGGAAAGGAGGACCGCACAGGCGGGCGGGAGGACCAGGAACGTCCCCCCGGGCTCAGCACCCGCTGTGGGGCCTGCGGGAGCCCCCGCGCCTTCTCGGCCCCAGGAGCACATTCTTCTGGACGTGGGCCGCTGCCCTGGGCAGGGAGTGACCCGTGTGTACGCCCTACAAACCACATTCAGTAGCAAGGGTCGGACGGTCCGTGTGAGACCACGGCCGACCCCCCACGGGAAGGTAAGCTCTCCTCCGAAAAGGAAGAGAAAGTTTGTTCACAGCCAGGGAGGGACAGGCACACACGTGAGTCATTAGGAAATGCCGTGAAATAAATCCTGGTTTGGTAGTCAGGGGCTGCTCGTGCCGGAACTCATCTCTAACACACCGTGCTGCTGTGGCATCAGCTCCTGTTCCCTCTCTGTGTCCGACCCACGCCCGGGACCCCACGGGGGGCACTGACACAGAATGTCTAACAGGAGACAGAAGGAAAGCAAGGTGCGCTTTTAAGACGACACTCCACACCTCACGGGAGAAGGTCACACGTGCCTGTCTGCCAGCCCTCAGTTCTTGGCTTACTGTGCCCAGACACGGAATCAGAGCTGAGATCTAGACTTTGAAACGTGGCTGCGCTGGTGACTCCTGGGGCCGTGTCCAGGGAAGAAAGAGGGTCCCACAATGACTAAGACTTTGCTGACCCAATCTTCACAGGTCAGCAAATGCCCAGTATGAGTATGGGGGCTGAAATTTCACCTGACGGGGTCAAAAAAGAAAAACAAAAACAAAAAGCAAAACAAAAAACAAAAACAAAAACAACAAAAGAAACACCTCTGATTCCAGAGAACCCTTGGGTGGCACTGGAAGATGCTCAAATGCCCTGAAGGACATTCCCGTGTCCGGAGGTGAGAGCCATCTGGGCTGCTCGAGACGCCAGAGGCAGCGGTGCCAGGCTCCTGGGCACCGAGGAAGAGCAGGAGCATCGCCATGCGGGAACGCCACTCGAGGTGCACACGGTGCGCCCACCGGGTGCCCCCTCACCCTCCTGTGCCTCCGTTCCTGCCTCCCTGGACTCAGCCTCGGGCATACAAGTAGACAGGGGGAGGGTGGGAGACGGGAATGGGTAGAGTGTAATGGAAAGAGCAAAGGACTGTCACAGCTATCCGTCAGTGACAGCAACGCCTCCAAACAGGACCAAGGAGCACCCCTTCACCCCCAGAGAACTGACCTGAGACGGCCAGGCTGAAGGTGACCCTCTGGCCCGCAGCCTCGCAGCTGTACTCCCCGCCGTCCGCCTTCCCTGCCTGCGGCAGCACCAGCCGCCGGGTGCAGCCCGTGGCCTCCACGCGCACTTTCGAGCTCCCACTCAGCTTCTTGCCGTCCCTTGTACCACGTCACCTGCGTCTGGGCCTGGGCCACCTCGCAGCTCAGCGTGGCGATGGCCCCCGCCTCGGCCTGCACCTGATTGTGGGCCGGCTGCTCCTTGGCAAACACCACCGTGGGCTCTGGGGGCAGGGAGGGAAGCACAGGGTCAGACACTTCCTCAAAGTCAGGAGCTGAGGAGGCACTGAGGAAAGGAGGACCGCACAGGCGGGCGGGAGGACCAGGAACGTCCCCCCGGGCTCAGCACCCGCTGTGGGGCCTGCGGGAGCCCCCCGCGCCTTCTCGGCCCCAGGAGCACATTCTTCTGGACGTGGGCCGCTGCCCTGGGCAGGGAGTGACCCGTGTGTACGCCCTACAAACCACATTCAGTAGCAAGGGTCGGACGGTCCGTGTGAGACCACGGCCGACCCCCACGGGAAGGTAAGCTCTCCTCCGAAAAGGAAGAGAAAGTTTGTTCACAGCCAGGGAGGGACAGGCACACACGTGAGTCATTAGGAAATGCCGTGAAATAAATCCTGGTTTGGTAGTCAGGGGCTGCTCGTGCCGGAACTCATCTCTAACACACCGTGCTGCTGTGGCATCAGCTCCTGTTCCCTCTCTGTGTCCGACCCACGCCCGGGACCCCACGGGGGCACTGACACAGAATGTCTAACAGGAGACAGAAGGAAAGCAAGGTGCGCTTTTAAGACGACACTCCACACCTCACGGGAGAAGGTCACACGTGCCTGTCTGCCAGCCCTCAGTTCTTGGCTTACTGTGCCCAGACACGGAATCAGAGCTGAGATCTAGACTTTGAAACGTGGCTGCGCTGGTGACTCCTGGGGCCGTGTCCAGGGAAGAAAGAGGGTCCCACAATGACTAAGACTTTGCTGACCCAATCTTCACAGGTCAGCAAATGCCCAGTATGAGTATGGGGCTGAAATTTCGCCTGACGGGGTCAAAAAGAAAAACAAAAACAAAAGCAAAACAAAAACAACAAAAGAAACACCTCTGATTCCAGAGAACCCTTGGGTGGCACTGGAAGATGCTCAAATGCCCTGAAGGACATTCCCGTGTCCGGAGGTGAGAGCCATCTGGGCTGCTCGAGACGCCAGAGGCAGCGGTGCCAGGCTCCTGGGCACCGAGGAAGAGCAGGAGCATCGCCATGCGGGAACGCCACTCGAGGTGCACACGGTGCGCCCACCGGGTGCCCCCTCACCCTCCTGTGCCTCCGTTCCTGCCTCCCTGGACTCAGCCTCGGGCATACAAGTAGACAGGGGGGAGGGTGGGAGACGGGAATGGGTAGAGTGTAATGGAAAGAGCAAAGGACTGTCACAGCTATCCGTCAGTGACAGCAACGCCTCCAAACAGGACCAAGGAGCACCCCTTCACCCCCAGAGAACTGACCTGAGACGGCCAGGCTGAAGGTGACCCTCTGGCCCGCAGCCTCGCAGCTGTACTCCCCCGCCGTCCGCCTTCCCTGCCTGCGGCAGCACCAGCCGCCGGGTGCAGCCCGTGGCCTCCACGCGCACTTTCGAGCTCCCACTCAGCTTCTTGCCGTCCTTGTACCACGTCACCTGCGTCTGGGCCTGGGCCACCTCGCAGCTCAGCGTGGCGATGGCCCCCCGCCTCGGCCTGCACCTGATTGTGGGCCGGCTGCTCCTTGGCAAACACCACCGTGGGCTCTGGGGGGGCAGGGAGGGAAGCACAGGGTCAGACACTTCCTCAAAGTCAGGAGCTGAGGAGGCACTGAGGAAAGGAGGACCGCACAGGCGGGCGGGAGGACCAGGAACGTCCCCCCGGGCTCAGCACCCGCTGTGGGGCCTGCGGGAGCCCCCCGCGCCTTCTCGGCCCCAGGAGCACATTCTTCTGGACGTGGGCCGCTGCCCTGGGCAGGGAGTGACCCGTGTGTACGCCCTACAAACCACATTCAGTAGCAAGGGTCGGACGGTCCGTGTGAGACCACGGCCGACCCCCCACGGGAAGGTAAGCTCTCCTCCGAAAAGGAAGAGAAAGTTTGTTCACAGCCAGGGAGGGACAGGCACACACGTGAGTCATTAGGAAATGCCGTGAAATAAATCCTGGTTTGGTAGTCAGGGGCTGCTCGTGCCGGAACTCATCTCTAACACACCGTGCTGCTGTGGCATCAGCTCCTGTTCCCTCTCTGTGTCCGACCCACGCCCGGGACCCCCACGGGGGCACTGACACAGAATGTCTAACAGGAGACAGAAGGAAAGCAAGGTGCGCTTTTAAGACGACACTCCACACCTCACGGGAGAAGGTCACACGTGCCTGTCTGCCAGCCCTCAGTTCTTGGCTTACTGTGCCCAGACACGGAATCAGAGCTGAGATCTAGACTTTGAAACGTGGCTGCGCTGGTGACTCCTGGGGCCGTGTCCAGGGAAGAAAGAGGGTCCCACAATGACTAAGACTTTGCTGACCCAATCTTCACAGGTCAGCAAATGCCCAGTATGAGTATGGGGGCTGAAATTTCACCTGACGGGGTCAAAAAAGAAAAACAAAAACAAAAGCAAAACAAAAAACAAAAACAAAAACAACAAAAGAAACACCTCTGATTCCAGAGAACCCTTGGGTGGCACTGGAAGATGCTCAAATGCCCTGAAGGACATTCCCGTGTCCGGAGGTGAGAGCCATCTGGGCTGCTCGAGACGCCAGAGGCAGCGGTGCCAGGCTCCTGGGCACCGAGGAAGAGCAGGAGCATCGCCATGCGGGAACGCCACTCGAGGTGCACACGGTGCGCCCACCGGGTGCCCCCCTCACCCTCCTGTGCCTCCGTTCCTGCCTCCCTGGACTCAGCCTCGGGCATACAAGTAGACAGGGGGGAGGGTGGGAGACGGGAATGGGTAGAGTGTAATGGAAAGAGCAAAGGACTGTCACAGCTATCCGTCAGTGACAGCAACGCCTCCAAACAGGACCAAGGAGCACCCCTTCACCCCCAGAGAACTGACCTGAGACGGCCAGGCTGAAGGTGACCCTCTGGCCCGCAGCCTCGCAGCTGTACTCCCCCGCCGTCCGCCTTCCCTGCCTGCGGCAGCACCAGCCGCCGGGTGCAGCCCGTGGCCTCCACGCGCACTTTCGAGCTCCCACTCAGCTTCTTGCCGTCCCTTGTACCACGTCACCTGCGTCTGGGCCTGGGCCACCTCGCAGCTCAGCGTGGCGATGGCCCCCCGCCTCGGCCTGCACCTGATTGTGGGCCGGCTGCTCCTTGGCAAACACCACCGTGGGCTCTGGGGGGGCAGGGAGGGAAGCACAGGGTCAGACACTTCCTCAAAGTCAGGAGCTGAGGAGGCACTGAGGAAAGGAGGACCGCACAGGCGGGCGGGAGGACCAGGAACGTCCCCCCGGGCTCAGCACCCGCTGTGGGGCCTGCGGGAGCCCCCCGCGCCTTCTCGGCCCCAGGAGCACATTCTTCTGGACGTGGGCCGCTGCCCTGGGCAGGGAGTGACCCGTGTGTACGCCCTACAAACCACATTCAGTAGCAAGGGTCGGACGGTCCGTGTGAGACCACGGCCGACCCCCCACGGGAAGGTAAGCTCTCCTCCGAAAAGGAAGAGAAAGTTTGTTCACAGCCAGGGAGGGACAGGCACACACGTGAGTCATTAGGAAATGCCGTGAAATAAATCCTGGTTTGGTAGTCAGGGGCTGCTCGTGCCGAACTCATCTCTAACACACCGTGCTGCTGTGGCATCAGCTCCTGTTCCCTCTCTGTGTCCGACCCACGCCCGGGACCCCACGGGGGCACTGACACAGAATGTCTAACAGGAGACAGAAGGAAAGCAAGGTGCGCTTTTAAGACGACACTCCACACCTCACGGGAGAAGGTCACACGTGCCTGTCTGCCAGCCCTCAGTTCTTGGCTTACTGTGCCCAGACACGGAATCAGAGCTGAGATCTAGACTTTGAAACGTGGCTGCGCTGGTGACTCCTGGGGCCGTGTCCAGGGAAGAAAGAGGGTCCCACAATGACTAAGACTTTGCTGACCCAATCTTCACAGGTCAGCAAATGCCCAGTATGAGTATGGGGCTGAAATTTCGCCTGACGGGGTCAAAAAGAAAAACAAAAACAAAAGCAAAACAAAAACAAAAACAAAAACAACAAAAGAAACACCTCTGATTCCAGAGAACCCTTGGGTGGCACTGGAAGATGCTCAAATGCCCTGAAGGACATTCCCGTGTCCGGAGGTGAGAGCCATCTGGGCTGCTCGAGACGCCAGAGGCAGCGGTGCCAGGCTCCTGGGCACCGAGGAAGAGCAGGAGCATCGCCATGCGGGAACGCCACTCGAGGTGCACACGGTGCGCCCACCGGGTGCCCCCTCACCCTCCTGTGCCTCCGTTCCTGCCTCCCTGGACTCAGCCTCGGGCATACAAGTAGACAGGGGGGGAGGGTGGGAGACGGGAATGGGTAGAGTGTAATGGAAAGAGCAAAGGACTGTCACAGCTATCCGTCAGTGACAGCAACGCCTCCAAACAGGACCAAGGAGCACCCCTTCACCCCCAGAGAACTGACCTGAGACGGCCAGGCTGAAGGTGACCCTCTGGCCCGCAGCCTCGCAGCTGTACTCCCCGCCGTCCGCCTTCCCTGCCTGCGGCAGCACCAGCCGCCGGGTGCAGCCCGTGGCCTCCACGCGCACTTTCGAGCTCCCACTCAGCTTCTTGCCGTCCCTTGTACCACGTCACCTGCGTCTGGGCCTGGGCCACCTCGCAGCTCAGCGTGGCGATGGCCCCCGCCTCGGCCTGCACCTGATTGTGGGCCGGCTGCTCCTTGGCAAACACCACCGTGGGCTCTGGGGGCAGGGAGGGAAGCACAGGGTCAGACACTTCCTCAAAGTCAGGAGCTGAGGAGGCACTGAGGAAAGGAGGACCGCACAGGCGGGCGGGAGGACCAGGAACGTCCCCCGGGCTCAGCACCCGCTGTGGGGCCTGCGGGAGCCCCCGCGCCTTCTCGGCCCCAGGAGCACATTCTTCTGGACGTGGGCCGCTGCCCTGGGCAGGGGAGTGACCCGTGTGTACGCCCTACAAACCACATTCAGTAGCAAGGGTCGGACGGTCCGTGTGAGACCACGGCCGACCCCCACGGGAAGGTAAGCTCTCCTCCGAAAAGGAAGAGAAAGTTTGTTCACAGCCAGGGAGGGACAGGCACACACGTGAGTCATTAGGAAATGCCGTGAAATAAATCCTGGTTTGGTAGTCAGGGGCTGCTCGTGCCGAACTCATCTCTAACACACCGTGCTGCTGTGGCATCAGCTCCTGTTCCCTCTCTGTGTCCGACCCACGCCCGGGACCCCCACGGGGGGCACTGACACAGAATGTCTAACAGGAGACAGAAGGAAAGCAAGGTGCGCTTTTAAGACGACACTCCACACCTCACGGGAGAAGGTCACACGTGCCTGTCTGCCAGCCCTCAGTTCTTGGCTTACTGTGCCCAGACACGGAATCAGAGCTGAGATCTAGACTTTGAAACGTGGCTGCGCTGGTGACTCCTGGGGCCGTGTCCAGGGAAGAAAGAGGGTCCCACAATGACTAAGACTTTGCTGACCCAATCTTCACAGGTCAGCAAATGCCCAGTATGAGTATGGGGGCTGAAATTTCACCTGACGGGGTCAAAAAGAAAAACAAAAACAAAAGCAAAACAAAAAACAAAAAACAAAAACAACAAAAGAAACACCTCTGATTCCAGAGAACCCTTGGGTGGCACTGGAAGATGCTCAAATGCCCTGAAGGACATTCCCGTGTCCGGGAGGTGAGAGCCATCTGGGCTGCTCGAGACGCCAGAGGCAGCGGTGCCAGGCTCCTGGGCACCGAGGAAGAGCAGGAGCATCGCCATGCGGGAACGCCACTCGAGGTGCACACGGTGCGCCCACCGGGTGCCCCCTCACCCTCCTGTGCCTCCGTTCCTGCCTCCCTGGACTCAGCCTCGGGCATACAAGTAGACAGGGGGGAGGGTGGGAGACGGGAATGGGTAGAGTGTAATGGAAAGAGCAAAGGACTGTCACAGCTATCCGTCAGTGACAGCAACGCCTCCAAACAGGACCAAGGAGCACCCCTTCACCCCCAGAGAACTGACCTGAGACGGCCAGGCTGAAGGTGACCCTCTGGCCCGCAGCCTCGCAGCTGTACTCCCCGCCGTCCGCCTTCCCTGCCTGCGGCAGCACCAGCCGCCGGGTGCAGCCCGTGGCCTCCACGCGCACTTTCGAGCTCCCACTCAGCTTCTTGCCGTCCCTTGTACCACGTCACCTGCGTCTGGGCCTGGGCCACCTCGCAGCTCAGCGTGGCGATGGCCCCCCGCCTCGGCCTGCACCTGATTGTGGGCCGGCTGCTCCTTGGCAAACACCACCGTGGGCTCTGTGGGGGCAGGGAGGGAAGCACAGGGTCAGACACTTCCTCAAAGTCAGGAGCTGAGGAGGCACTGAGGAAAGGAGGACCGCACAGGCGGGCGGGAGGACCAGGAACGTCCCCCGGGCTCAGCACCCGCTGTGGGGCCTGCGGGAGCCCCCGCGCCTTCTCGGCCCCAGGAGCACATTCTTCTGGACGTGGGCCGCTGCCCTGGGCAGGGAGTGACCCGTGTGTACGCCCTACAAACCACATTCAGTAGCAAGGGTCGGACGGTCCGTGTGAGACCACGGCCGACCCCCCACGGGAAGGTAAGCTCTCCTCCGAAAAGGAAGAGAAAGTTTGTTCACAGCCAGGGAGGGACAGGCACACACGTGAGTCATTAGGAAATGCCGTGAAATAAATCCTGGTTTGGTAGTCAGGGGCTGCTCGTGCCGAACTCATCTCTAACACACCGTGCTGCTGTGGCATCAGCTCCTGTTCCCTCTCTGTGTCCGACCCACGCCCGGGACCCCCACGGGGGCACTGACACAGAATGTCTAACAGGAGACAGAAGGAAAGCAAGGTGCGCTTTTAAGACGACACTCCACACCTCACGGGAGAAGGTCACACGTGCCTGTCTGCCAGCCCTCAGTTCTTGGCTTACTGTGCCCAGACACGGAATCAGAGCTGAGATCTAGACTTTGAAACGTGGCTGCGCTGGTGACTCCTGGGGCCGTGTCCAGGGAAGAAAGAGGGTCCCACAATGACTAAGACTTTGCTGACCCAATCTTCACAGGTCAGCAAATGCCCAGTATGAGTATGGGGCTGAAATTTCACCTGACGGGGTCAAAAAAGAAAAACAAAAACAAAAGCAAAACAAAAACAAAAACAAAAACAACAAAAGAAACACCTCTGATTCCAGAGAACCCTTGGGTGGCACTGGAAGATGCTCAAATGCCCTGAAGGACATTCCCGTGTCCGGGAGGTGAGAGCCATCTGGGCTGCTCGAGACGCCAGAGGCAGCGGTGCCAGGCTCCTGGGCACCGAGGAAGAGCAGGAGCATCGCCATGCGGGAACGCCACTCGAGGTGCACACGGTGCGCCCACCGGGTGCCCCCCTCACCCTCCTGTGCCTCCGTTCCTGCCTCCCTGGACTCAGCCTCGGGCATACAAGTAGACAGGGGGGAGGGTGGGAGACGGGAATGGGTAGAGTGTAATGGAAAGAGCAAAGGACTGTCACAGCTATCCGTCAGTGACAGCAACGCCTCCAAACAGGACCAAGGAGCACCCCTTCACCCCCAGAGAACTGACCTGAGACGGCCAGGCTGAAGGTGACCCTCTGGCCCGCAGCCTCGCAGCTGTACTCCCCGCCGTCCGCCTTCCCTGCCTGCGGCAGCACCAGCCGCCGGGTGCAGCCCGTGGCCTCCACGCGCACTTTCGAGCTCCCACTCAGCTTCTTGCCGTCCCTTGTACCACGTCACCTGCGTCTGGGCCTGGGCCACCTCGCAGCTCAGCGTGGCGATGGCCCCCGCCTCGGCCTGCACCTGATTGTGGGCCGGCTGCTCCTTGGCAAACACCACCGTGGGCTCTGGGGGCAGGGAGGGAAGCACAGGGTCAGACACTTCCTCAAAGTCAGGAGCTGAGGAGGCACTGAGGAAAGGAGGACCGCACAGGCGGGCGGGAGGACCAGGAACGTCCCCCCGGGCTCAGCACCCGCTGTGGGGCCTGCGGGAGCCCCCCCGCGCCTTCTCGGCCCCAGGAGCACATTCTTCTGGACGTGGGCCGCTGCCCTGGGCAGGGGAGTGACCCGTGTGTACGCCCTACAAACCACATTCAGTAGCAAGGGTCGGACGGTCCGTGTGAGACCACGGCCGACCCCCACGGGAAGGTAAGCTCTCCTCCGAAAAGGAAGAGAAAGTTTGTTCACAGCCAGGGAGGGACAGGCACACACGTGAGTCATTAGGAAATGCCGTGAAATAAATCCTGGTTTGGTAGTCAGGGGCTGCTCGTGCCGGAACTCATCTCTAACACACCGTGCTGCTGTGGCATCAGCTCCTGTTCCCTCTCTGTGTCCGACCCACGCCCGGGACCCCCACGGGGGCACTGACACAGAATGTCTAACAGGAGACAGAAGGAAAGCAAGGTGCGCTTTTAAGACGACACTCCACACCTCACGGGAGAAGGTCACACGTGCCTGTCTGCCAGCCCTCAGTTCTTGGCTTACTGTGCCCAGACACGGAATCAGAGCTGAGATCTAGACTTTGAAACGTGGCTGCGCTGGTGACTCCTGGGGCCGTGTCCAGGGAAGAAAGAGGGTCCCACAATGACTAAGACTTTGCTGACCCAATCTTCACAGGTCAGCAAATGCCCAGTATGAGTATGGGGGCTGAAATTTCACCCTGACGGGGTCAAAAAGAAAAACAAAAACAAAAGCAAAACAAAAAACAAAAACAAAAACAACAAAAGAAACACCTCTGATTCCAGAGAACCCTTGGGTGGCACTGGAAGATGCTCAAATGCCCTGAAGGACATTCCCGTGTCCGGAGGTGAGAGCCATCTGGGCTGCTCGAGACGCCAGAGGCAGCGGTGCCAGGCTCCTGGGCACCGAGGAAGAGCAGGAGCATCGCCATGCGGGAACGCCACTCGAGGTGCACACGGTGCGCCCACCGGGTGCCCCCCTCACCCTCCTGTGCCTCCGTTCCTGCCTCCCTGGACTCAGCCTCGGGCATACAAGTAGACAGGGGGGGAGGGTGGGAGACGGGAATGGGTAGAGTGTAATGGAAAGAGCAAAGGACTGTCACAGCTATCCGTCAGTGACAGCAACGCCTCCAAACAGGACCAAGGAGCACCCCTTCACCCCCAGAGAACTGACCTGAGACGGCCAGGCTGAAGGTGACCCTCTGGCCCGCAGCCTCGCAGCTGTACTCCCCGCCGTCCGCCTTCCCTGCCTGCGGCAGCACCAGCCGCCGGGTGCAGCCCGTGGCCTCCACGCGCACTTTCGAGCTCCCACTCAGCTTCTTGCCGTCCCTTGTACCACGTCACCTGCGTCTGGGCCTGGGCCACCTCGCAGCTCAGCGTGGCGATGGCCCCCGCCTCGGCCTGCACCTGATTGTGGGCCGGCTGCTCCTTGGCAAACACCACCGTGGGCTCTGGGGGCAGGGAGGGAAGCACAGGGTCAGACACTTCCTCAAAGTCAGGAGCTGAGGAGGCACTGAGGAAAGGAGGACCGCACAGGCGGGCGGGAGGACCAGGAACGTCCCCCGGGCTCAGCACCCGCTGTGGGGCCTGCGGGAGCCCCCGCGCCTTCTCGGCCCCAGGAGCACATTCTTCTGGACGTGGGCCGCTGCCCTGGGCAGGGGAGTGACCCGTGTGTACGCCCTACAAACCACATTCAGTAGCAAGGGTCGGACGGTCCGTGTGAGACCACGGCCGACCCCCACGGGAAGGTAAGCTCTCCTCCGAAAAGGAAGAGAAAGTTTGTTCACAGCCAGGGAGGGACAGGCACACACGTGAGTCATTAGGAAATGCCGTGAAATAAATCCTGGTTTGGTAGTCAGGGGCTGCTCGTGCCGAACTCATCTCTAACACACCGTGCTGCTGTGGCATCAGCTCCTGTTCCCTCTCTGTGTCCGACCCACGCCCGGGACCCCACGGGGGCACTGACACAGAATGTCTAACAGGAGACAGAAGGAAAGCAAGGTGCGCTTTTAAGACGACACTCCACACCTCACGGGAGAAGGTCACACGTGCCTGTCTGCCAGCCCTCAGTTCTTGGCTTACTGTGCCCAGACACGGAATCAGAGCTGAGATCTAGACTTTGAAACGTGGCTGCGCTGGTGACTCCTGGGGCCGTGTCCAGGGAAGAAAGAGGGTCCCACAATGACTAAGACTTTGCTGACCCAATCTTCACAGGTCAGCAAATGCCCAGTATGAGTATGGGGGCTGAAATTTCACCCTGACGGGGTCAAAAAGAAAAACAAAAAACAAAAGCAAAACAAAAAACAAAAAACAAAAACAACAAAAGAAACACCTCTGATTCCAGAGAACCCTTGGGTGGCACTGGAAGATGCTCAAATGCCCTGAAGGACATTCCCGTGTCCGGAGGTGAGAGCCATCTGGGCTGCTCGAGACGCCAGAGGCAGCGGTGCCAGGCTCCTGGGCACCGAGGAAGAGCAGGAGCATCGCCATGCGGGAACGCCACTCGAGGTGCACACGGTGCGCCCACCGGGTGCCCCCCTCACCCTCCTGTGCCTCCGTTCCTGCCTCCCTGGACTCAGCCTCGGGCATACAAGTAGACAGGGGGGAGGGTGGGAGACGGGAATGGGTAGAGTGTAATGGAAAGAGCAAAGGACTGTCACAGCTATCCGTCAGTGACAGCAACGCCTCCAAACAGGACCAAGGAGCACCCCTTCACCCCCAGAGAACTGACCTGAGACGGCCAGGCTGAAGGTGACCCTCTGGCCCGCAGCCTCGCAGCTGTACTCCCCGCCGTCCGCCTTCCCCTGCCTGCGGCAGCACCAGCCGCCGGGTGCAGCCCGTGGCCTCCACGCGCACTTTCGAGCTCCCACTCAGCTTCTTGCCGTCCTTGTACCACGTCACCTGCGTCTGGGCCTGGGCCACCTCGCAGCTCAGCGTGGCGATGGCCCCCGCCTCGGCCTGCACCTGATTGTGGGCCGGCTGCTCCTTGGCAAACACCACCGTGGGCTCTGGGGGCAGGGAGGGAAGCACAGGGTCAGACACTTCCTCAAAGTCAGGAGCTGAGGAGGCACTGAGGAAAGGAGGACCGCACAGGCGGGCGGGAGGACCAGGAACGTCCCCCGGGCTCAGCACCCGCTGTGGGGCCTGCGGGAGCCCCCCGCGCCTTCTCGGCCCCAGGAGCACATTCTTCTGGACGTGGGCCGCTGCCCTGGGCAGGGGAGTGACCCGTGTGTACGCCCTACAAACCACATTCAGTAGCAAGGGTCGGACGGTCCGTGTGAGACCACGGCCGACCCCCACGGGAAGGTAAGCTCTCCTCCGAAAAGGAAGAGAAAGTTTGTTCACAGCCAGGGAGGGACAGGCACACACGTGAGTCATTAGGAAATGCCGTGAAATAAATCCTGGTTTGGTAGTCAGGGGCTGCTCGTGCCGAACTCATCTCTAACACACCGTGCTGCTGTGGCATCAGCTCCTGTTCCCTCTCTGTGTCCGACCCACGCCCGGGACCCCACGGGGGCACTGACACAGAATGTCTAACAGGAGACAGAAGGAAAGCAAGGTGCGCTTTTAAGACGACACTCCACACCTCACGGGAGAAGGTCACACGTGCCTGTCTGCCAGCCCTCAGTTCTTGGCTTACTGTGCCCAGACACGGAATCAGAGCTGAGATCTAGACTTTGAAACGTGGCTGCGCTGGTGACTCCTGGGGCCGTGTCCAGGGAAGAAAGAGGGTCCCACAATGACTAAGACTTTGCTGACCCAATCTTCACAGGTCAGCAAATGCCCAGTATGAGTATGGGGCTGAAATTTCGCCTGACGGGGTCAAAAAGAAAAACAAAAACAAAAGCAAAACAAAAACAAAAACAAAAACAACAAAAGAAACACCTCTGATTCCAGAGAACCCTTGGGTGGCACTGGAAGATGCTCAAATGCCCTGAAGGACATTCCCGTGTCCGGGAGGTGAGAGCCATCTGGGCTGCTCGAGACGCCAGAGGCAGCGGTGCCAGGCTCCTGGGCACCGAGGAAGAGCAGGAGCATCGCCATGCGGGAACGCCACTCGAGGTGCACACGGTGCGCCCACCGGGTGCCCCCCTCACCCTCCTGTGCCTCCGTTCCTGCCTCCCTGGACTCAGCCTCGGGCATACAAGTAGACAGGGGGAGGGTGGGAGACGGGAATGGGTAGAGTGTAATGGAAAGAGCAAAGGACTGTCACAGCTATCCGTCAGTGACAGCAACGCCTCCAAACAGGACCAAGGAGCACCCCTTCACCCCCAGAGAACTGACCTGAGACGGCCAGGCTGAAGGTGACCCTCTGGCCCGCAGCCTCGCAGCTGTACTCCCCGCCGTCCGCCTTCCCTGCCTGCGGCAGCACCAGCCGCCGGGTGCAGCCCGTGGCCTCCACGCGCACTTTCGAGCTCCCACTCAGCTTCTTGCCGTCCCTTGTACCACGTCACCTGCGTCTGGGCCTGGGCCACCTCGCAGCTCAGCGTGGCGATGGCCCCCGCCTCGGCCTGCACCTGATTGTGGGCCGGCTGCTCCTTGGCAAACACCACCGTGGGCTCTGGGGGCAGGGAGGGAAGCACAGGGTCAGACACTTCCTCAAAGTCAGGAGCTGAGGAGGCACTGAGGAAAGGAGGACCGCACAGGCGGGCGGGAGGACCAGGAACGTCCCCCCGGGCTCAGCACCCGCTGTGGGGCCTGCGGGAGCCCCCGCGCCTTCTCGGCCCCAGGAGCACATTCTTCTGGACGTGGGCCGCTGCCCTGGGCAGGGGAGTGACCCGTGTGTACGCCCTACAAACCACATTCAGTAGCAAGGGTCGGACGGTCCGTGTGAGACCACGGCCGACCCCCACGGGAAGGTAAGCTCTCCTCCGAAAAGGAAGAGAAAGTTTGTTCACAGCCAGGGAGGGACAGGCACACACGTGAGTCATTAGGAAATGCCGTGAAATAAATCCTGGTTTGGTAGTCAGGGGCTGCTCGTGCCGAACTCATCTCTAACACACCGTGCTGCTGTGGCATCAGCTCCTGTTCCCTCTCTGTGTCCGACCCACGCCCGGGACCCCACGGGGGCACTGACACAGAATGTCTAACAGGAGACAGAAGGAAAGCAAGGTGCGCTTTTAAGACGACACTCCACACCTCACGGGAGAAGGTCACACGTGCCTGTCTGCCAGCCCTCAGTTCTTGGCTTACTGTGCCCAGACACGGAATCAGAGCTGAGATCTAGACTTTGAAACGTGGCTGCGCTGGTGACTCCTGGGGCCGTGTCCAGGGAAGAAAGAGGGTCCCACAATGACTAAGACTTTGCTGACCCAATCTTCACAGGTCAGCAAATGCCCAGTATGAGTATGGGGCTGAAATTTCAGCCTGACGGGGTCAAAAAGAAAAACAAAAACAAAAGCAAAACAAAAACAAAAAACAAAAACAACAAAAGAAACACCTCTGATTCCAGAGAACCCTTGGGTGGCACTGGAAGATGCTCAAATGCCCTGAAGGACATTCCCGTGTCCGGAGGTGAGAGCCATCTGGGCTGCTCGAGACGCCAGAGGCAGCGGTGCCAGGCTCCTGGGCACCGAGGAAGAGCAGGAGCATCGCCATGCGGGAACGCCACTCGAGGTGCACACGGTGCGCCCACCGGGTGCCCCCCTCACCCTCCTGTGCCTCCGTTCCTGCCTCCCTGGACTCAGCCTCGGGCATACAAGTAGACAGGGGGAGGGTGGGAGACGGGAATGGGTAGAGTGTAATGGAAAGAGCAAAGGACTGTCACAGCTATCCGTCAGTGACAGCAACGCCTCCAAACAGGACCAAGGAGCACCCCTTCACCCCCAGAGAACTGACCTGAGACGGCCAGGCTGAAGGTGACCCTCTGGCCCGCAGCCTCGCAGCTGTACTCCCCGCCGTCCGCCTTCCCTGCCTGCGGCAGCACCAGCCGCCGGGTGCAGCCCGTGGCCTCCACGCGCACTTTCGAGCTCCCACTCAGCTTCTTGCCGTCCTTGTACCACGTCACCTGCGTCTGGGCCTGGGCCACCTCGCAGCTCAGCGTGGCGATGGCCCCCGCCTCGGCCTGCACCTGATTGTGGGCCGGCTGCTCCTTGGCAAACACCACCGTGGGCTCTGGGGGCAGGGATGAGCACAGATTCAGAGCCCCACATTGGTTTCCTCTGGAGCCACAAGAGATGCTCACACACCTGGTGACTATCGCACCACCTGGTTTTCTGTGATTCATATTATGCAAATCATCCCTCCTAGGAACAGGAGTCCTACGAGGACTGCTGCCTCAGTACAGAGAGGGAGGCATATTGGCTTGCACAGCCTCTCATTGTTGCCAGGACCTGGAGTATGCATTTAGACGCCCCAGTTGCTTCAGGAAAGAGCCAGAGCCTTATATTCTCCAAAGTCTAAATCTATTCTGCTGAGGATGCTCTAGCTCCTCTTAGGCCTTCTCAGCCTCCTGTGATTTTTAATAGAACAAGGTCTTGTCTCCTGGCCTAGGTGGATGCTTAGGTAGACATACTGTGCCTTCTGACACAACCAAAAGAAGTACAACAATTTAAAAACAAAGAATAACTTGAACTGATAGAAATTCGAATTGTATGGAAGTCAGACAACCAAGGTGTTAAAGAGAACTCCTTCATTCAGAGTGGTAGGTGGGTCAGAGATAGGCAGCCAGGCTGGAGAGGACTCTCGGCAAAGCAGCAGCTGGCAGACCCAGCAATGCGGTGGACTGTGGAATGGGATACAGTGCACAAAGCAGCTATCCAACCAGGCAGTTCCATATTCTCATGTAGATAAAGCAGGCAAAACTCAGTAGCAGGACAGACTGCACAACCCAGGGTCCGAACACGGGGAAATTAAGCCTCAAAACACCAGTTGAGAACACCTGTGGCTGTTTCAGTGCCAGGAGAAACTCCCAGCCTCATAGGAAAATTTGTGGGAGAGACCCACAAGGTCCTAGAATGTACACAAGCCCACCCACATGGGAATCAGCACCCAAAGGGCCCAATTTGCTTGCGGGTAGTGAGGGAAGTGACTGAAACCCAGTAGGGAATGGAGCAAGCACCATTGTTCCCTCTTGGACCCCTTCTCCATAGATAGCTCCACAACGCAGCAGCAAAGTGGGTTATCCTGCCCTGGTGAACACTTAAGGCTCCACCCCTCACTATGTAGCAGGCACTTCAAGACAAAAAAAAAAAGGCCCAAATGAAAGAACAGATCATAGCTCTAGAAAAAATACAACTAAGCAGTGAAGAGATAGCCAACCTATCAGATGAACAGTTCAAAACACTGGTAATCAGGATGCTCACAGAATTGCTTGAATTTGGTTGCGAATTAGATGAAAAAATGAAGGCTACAATAAGTGAAATAAAGGAAAATGTAGAGGGAACCAATAGTGATGGGGAGGGAACCAATAGTGATGGGGAGAAAACTGGGTCTCAAATCAACAGTGTGGACCAGAAGGAAGAAAGAAACACCACCAGAAAAGGATGAAGAAACAAGAATTCGGAAAAAATGAGGAGAGGCTTAGGAACCTCCAGGACATCTTTAAACATTCCAACAGCTGAATTATAGGGGCACCAGAAGGAGAAGAGGAAGAGCAACAAGTGGAAAAGTTATTTGAACAAAGAATAAAGGAGAACTTCCCCATTCTGGCAAAGGAAATGGACTTCCAGTAAGTCCAGGAAGCTCAGAGAGTCCCAAAGAAGTTGGATCCAAGGAGGAACACACCAAGGCACATCATCATTACATTACCCAAGATAAAAATTAAGGAGAGAAACCTAGAATCAGCAATAGATAAGGAGACAGTCAACTACAAAGGAATTCCCATCAGACTGTCAGCTGATTTCTCAAAAGAGATCTTACAGGCAAGAAGGGGCTGGAAAGAAGTATTCCAAGTCATGAAAGGCAAGGACCTACATCCCAGATTGTTCTATCTAGCAAAGCTTTCATTTAGAATGGAAGGGCAGATAAAGTGCTTCCCAGAGAAGGTCAAGTTAAAGGAGTTCATCATCACCAAGCCCTTATTATATGAAATGTTAAAGGGATTTATCTAAGAAAAAGAAGATAAAAAATATGTATAGTAAAATGACAGCAAACTCACAATCATTAACAACCACACCTAAAATAAAAACAAAAGTAAACTAAGCAAACAACTACAACAGGAACAGAACCACAGAAATGGAGATCACATGGAGGGTTATCAACAGTGGAGTGGGATGGGGAGAGAGGGGAAAAAGATACAGAGAATAAGTAGCATAGATGGTAGGTAGAAAATAGACAGGGGAAGGGTAAGAATAGTGTGGGAAATGTAGAAGCTAAAGAATTTATATGTATAACACATGGACATGAACTAAGGGGGGAGAATGTGGGTTGGGGGGAGGAGGGGAGGGGAGGGGGAAATGGGACAACTGTAATAGCATAATCAATAAAATATATTAAAAAAATAAAAATAAATAAAACAACAAAAACTTCACATTTCATATCTCAAATTCTTTCATCCATCTCTATGTTAGTTTTATGGATAATTTCTTTTCCCAGATGAAGCACCTGCCCCTCCCCAAGAATTTGCATAAGCAATAAAGAGCCAGCTCCACCTTGCAGGTGCCAGATACAACTGGACCTGCCCCCCACCCACCAAACTTGGGAGTTGCATACTCACCACAAACTCGCAGCTGGAAATCCACAGAGTGCTCGCCCACATGGCACGAATAGGTGCCCTCATCCTGCCTGCTGACTGAGTTGACCACCAACCGGTGCCGCGTGCCCATGTCCTCCTGAGAGAAGTGTGAGCTGGAGAGGCTGAGCTCCACACCATCCTTGAACCAGCACACAGGCACATGGGCCTCCACAGTCTCACACTCAAGGTAGGCTGGGCCCCCGACCACGATGTCCAAGCAGCCACCAGCTGAGTCCTTGTGCAGAAAGGGTGTGAGTCCTGTAAGTGCAGCAGGGATTAGGGGCAGGCAGTGCTTCGACTGCGAGCATGCCCATACACTCGCCAAGCAGGTGCTCAGGGCTTTGGAGCCACGTGGAGCCCTGGCTCAGCCCAGACCAGGTGCTCCTTCAGACAGGGCCAGCTGCTGAGTTCCAAACACCCATGAACTGTTAGGACTTCCCCACAGAATCCCTGCCCCTACCAAATAGAACCCCGCCCCCACTGTCCCCATGGAGTCACCTGAGCCTCCCCCTCAACCGATCCCCCAACAGAGAATATCAGTTCCCACTTCCCTGACCCTGTATAGCCTGCCGAGAGCTGGGGTACAGAATCCTGAGGCTTTGGCAGCAGCCAGGAGGACATAGAAACACATGGATACACACACACCTTGCACCAGCAGCTGGTAAGCAATGCGAACCCCACGGCTGACACACTCGTACAGGCCGGCATCATCTTGTGCCACATCTCGCACCAGTAGTGCCCGCTGCCCTGCCAAAGCCTGAACCTGGTACTTGGGGCCTAGGGGTAGTGCTCGGCCGTCCTTGAGCCATGTTACAGTTGCTGCCTGGTCCGACAGCTCAGCCAGGAGCTGCGCCTCCTCATGCAGCCGGGCCAGCACCTCCCGAACTTCTGCTGGATGGTTGGTGCTCAGCCCTGGGGCCACTGGGGGCCCTCAGAGAAGGAGAGAGGGGGTGTGAAGGGAGGGGGATGTGGTTGAAGGGAGAGGAGGAAGTCGACAGAGGGAGAGTGGGCAGAGGAGCAGTGGGCAGAGAGTGAAGAAGGGAGAAGGGAAAGAAGAGCAAATAGAGGGAGACATGAGGCTATGTGTCATCAGGAGCCCTCAGCCCCTCATTCACTCACACACTGTGCCTGGGGACAGGCAAGTCCCCTAAAGGCCAGGCAAGCTGCTTTACTCTCCCCACCCCACCACCTGGCCATGCTTATCCAGGCCACACTCCCAGCAGCTCACCAGCACTCTCCAGGAGCCCTGGGGCCTGGGGAACCAGGTCCTGCTCTGGCTCCTACCCTCAAAGGAAGCAGAACTTGGAGAGGCCCCAGGGGTCAGGGGCTGGGTCTCCTACCTCGGACCTCCATGCAGATACTGCTCTCAATGCCATTGGCCACGAACTTGAGTTCAGCACCGTGCAAGCTGGCAGGCACTGAGTGGATGGTGAGGGTGTGCCGGGTGCCATCACAGTGGATCATGTACATGCTGCTGGACTTCAGAGCCTGCCCATCCAAGAACCACTCGCCCACCGAGGCCAAAGTGAGGTCCACAGAGAAGGTCACCTCACTGCCCTCCACCGCCTCCACCGCCTTCAGAGGCGTCTTCACAGCTAGCTGGGGGGCTGCAGGATGGGGGCTTTATGAAGGAGCAAGGCACCTGACCTCCCTTCCTCCTCCTCCCCCAGAGCCTAGACCCAAATGCACCTTCCAGGAAGCCCATTGAACAGATACACAGCAACCATGAGGGATTGCAGGGCTCAGGGCTGTATGGGGTCATGTTAGAGCACTCAAGATCCCCTCCAGATCTCACAAGCCCAGAGGTGGAAGGTACAGTTGTTCAGCCCCTGGGGCTGGAGGAAACAGACAGGTTCCTGTGGGATGCAAGTCCTATCTCAGAGTCCCTTCCCCTTCCCACAGAGGTGGCTCCAGCAGCATCAGGACCCTGGTAACTCACCCCAATAAAGAGGCTCTATGAGTCACTGTGGCCTCACTGAGACTGGGCTGTGCTCTAGGTATGGGTGCTTCCATGGTGGGCGCCCTGTAGGCCATGATCTGGCAGTGGTGGGGAAGAGGGCCTGCCACACTTACCCAGGTGGATCGTCCCCGGGAACTCAAGGTAGGTGCTCTGGCCAAAGCTGTTCACAGCTGACACCCGGAATTGGTAGTCCCCCTCCTCAGTCACACAGCCCACAGTCAGCTCAGGTGTGGCCACCCACTCGGCCTTGTGGCACCGGCTCCAGCTATAGGTGCCCAGTCGCTTCTTCTCCACCAGGTAGCCATCGATGGTAACAGGGAGGTCCCCATAGAGTGGTGGGGACCAGCTGAGAGTCACGGAACTCTCTGTCTTGGCTGTCACCACAGGGGCCTCAGGGGGGTGTGGTGGTGGCTTCCTAGGGGCTGAGCAGAGCACAGACCCACATCACCGACTAGGAGCCCCTCCCCAACCCCAGGTCCAGGATCATTCTGGAGGAGGGAGGGGATCACAGAATCCCCAATCCTGCTAGGGAGCACTGCTCTGATAATCTGAAATGACCACAACCTGGGGTAGAAGGCCAGTCTGAAGGGAGTCTGGGGCCCATAATGTTTGGCCCTACACTGTGGCCATTTCTCTGCTTGAAGCAGAAAGGGAACCCTGGCTTCAGCAGCCACATTTGGCCCAGGGCCACCATAAACTCTCTATGTGGCCTGGGGACAGACATCTCTCAGTGTTCAGCCTTGACCCCAACAGTGCACTGGGGTCTTGGCTGGACAGTGACTGAGGCAGGGCACAGTGACCATCCTGAGGGTACTGAGGCTGTGTGGCGGGGCACACCTGCCCCCAGCCAAGGGCTGACCCTGTGGGGATGGGCAGAATAGGGAACTGCCATAGAATCGACAATGTAGACACCAAGGCCACAGAAAGAAGACATACTCACACAGGACAGCCTCCTGCCACACACACACACACACACACACACACACACACTGTACTTCTAGAACCATCTATACCTTCTAATTTGGTTGGTGGAATGGGAGGGCTATCAAGATTCCCACTTTGCCAATGCCTGGGGAGACCATAGTGAAGGAGAGCAAACCATTAGGGTCTAAGGAGCCAGAGCTACAGTCTAAACTCGATGTGCCCCATGCCCTTCCTGAAGCCACAGAGCACACACAGGGCAGCACGGGACCCAGCACCTGGATGGTGGCAAGGGGCACTGCTTCCTTTGGAGGGGTACTCCCCAGGCCCTTACCCGATACACAGAACTGTGTGGATGTCCGGCAGTCCCCAGCCACAAAGGCCACCTCACCCACATCTTCCAGGTTGCACTGGGCGATAGTCAGCGTGTGGCGTGTGCCTTCAGTGGTGATGACCACACGATCCCCAGCTACCACCTCTTCCTGGTTCCGGAGCCAGTGGACAGGGCCCTCTGGCCTGGCCAGCTCCACACAGAACAGGGCAGTGTCCCCCACTCGCACCACTGTCTTTCTCGGGAGCTTTCTGGTGAGGTTGCCTAAGATGTGTCAGAGCAAGGGACTGGTCAAACCAGACCTTGCCAGCCACCCCTCCAGTCTCATGGGCCCTGCCCATACTCCACATCCCCTTTCAAGTGGTCCCCACCCACCCACCTAGTACTGCGAGCTCAGCCACAGTGCGACTGCCCTCAGCCATCTCACAGATGTACACAGCGTCATCGTCAGCCGAGGTGTTGTGCACAGTCAGCCGGCGCTCCGTGCCCTCCTCCTCAATGGCGTACTTCGTGCTGGCCCACAGCCTCATGTCTTCCTTGTACCACAGGGCCTGTGTGGCCAGCAGTGGCACCTCACACCGGAACGTGGCCGACCCCTTCTCCTGCACCTCCAGGTCCTGCAGTCGGGTCTTGAAGGGCACCGCAGGTTCTATGGAGAGAGGGATGAACAGTGTGGGGCAGTGGGCTGGGCAGGGAAGGGGGGACGTGGGTGGTGGCATCTAGAGTGTGGTGGGTGGGGTTGGGAGAGGGAAAGGGTGGTGGGGCAGTGCAAGCTAAGGGCAAGTAGGTGCTGAGGTGGGGGCAGGAGGTATGGGTGGGAGGGGCTGCAGGGCAGAGAGTGAGTGGGAGAGCTGAGGAGGGAAGAGGAAGAGGGCAGGGGAAGGGGACAGAAGTGAAAGAAAAGAGCCCCTCCTCCCAGTTATAAGAAATCTGGAAGAGAAAAGAAGCAATAAGTCTAGCAGCCCCCTAAGCAGACCCCCACCACTAGCCCGGCAGCTAGGCAGCAAGATCAAGACCTTAGAGAAATGCTCATTCCCTTGGCACTGGCTTCAGGCCAAGGCCCTGCCACCACATTCGTGTGCCCAGTGCAGCTTCCCAGGGACCACTGGAATAGGGGGCATTTACTCGCATGAATGAGGAAACATACATGCATGCGGAGATAAACACGCCCAGCCCCCAGTCCAAGGTCCTACAGCGGTGATACGTGTAAGAAGGTGGAGGCAGGACTCCCAGCACTAGGGAGGCCAGTGTTGTAAGAGAGAAGAATAAATGAGCCTCCCAAAAAAACCTGGCCCTGCTGCCCACACCTGCCAGGGCCTGCAAACAAGAGCCTACAAACTGGCCAGAGCCGCCTCCCGCTGCACAGCGGTCACTGGCACCAAATGCTCCGCTCTCCCTCGCTCTTGGACAGGGAGACCCCATCAGCATCCAGGGCAGGCTTAGCTACGGGGCACCCTGATCATCTCCCATGGGAAGGGCGTACTGGTGACAAAGTGCATTCTCCTCTACTCTTGTTACTCATAAAGACAGGGGGACAGACTCAGGGTCATCCTTGTGCCGCCTGCATTTTTCGGGCGGGTTAAAGGGAGAGCGGTCTGGACTTCCACCTCCGCATTCACTACCTGACAGACCTGGAGGAGCCATGCCTATGCTCAGCGGCAGTGGCTACAGCAGGGGTGTGTGGCACCCAAGCTCACCTCGAACAACGACCAGCACAGAGCTGTAGGTTTGGCCCACGAGGTTGGATGCTGTGCAAGTGTAGAGGCCACGGTCCGACTGCTTGCAGAAGAGAATCTTGAGCACAAAGTTTTCCTGAGCGTCCTCATACACCACATGTCGCCGGCCCTCGGCCACCAGCTGCCCATCCTTCTTCCACACTGTCTCGGGCTTGGGCTCACCTGTCACGTAGCAACTGAGGCGTGCGTGCTTGCCCTCAGTCACCGTGCAGGTGCGCGTGCCGGAGCCTGGTGGCGAGTCTGGGGCTCCCTCAGCCCGCATAGCTTCGCGCCGCCGCTGGAGGTGCGCCAAGAGCGAAGCTGTAGAAGCCCCTGGCGGGCCTGCGGAGCCAGCGTCTGTGTCCACTGTAAGCGCAGCGTCGGCACTGGCTGTGCCCAGTGGGTTCTCTGCACGCACCGTGTAGGTTCCACCATCACGGGGCCGCGCGTCCTGGATGCGCAGCGCGCTCGCCTCCCCACTGGCCTCCACAGTCATTCGTGGGGCATCAGGAACTCCCAGGCGCCTCCCATCCTTGGCCCAGCTCACTGCCATAGGTGGTGAGCCCCGCACGCGGCAGCGGAAAGTAGCCTCTGCGCCCTCACGCACGCGGATGGACGTGGGCCGCAGCAAGAAGTGGGGTGCCTGCTCCGCGCACGCGGCCTCGGAGTTTACCTGGAGGCCCACGGCTGCAAAGGCCTCGCCAATGGCATTGCGCGCGCGGCACACGTACTGTCCACTGTCTCCTAGAGCCAAGTCCAGGATAGTGAGGCGATATTGGTCGCCATCCTGGGCCAGGCGGAAGCGAGAGCCTGCCTCCACCGGCTGCTGGTCCTTTTCCCAGTTCACCTGCGGCATGGGGTTGCCCACAATCTGGCAGCTCAATGTGGCATCCTTACCCACAGACACCACAAAGGCCTTGGGCCGGGTCAGGAATCGGGGCGCGCCACTGAATGAGGAGTGATCCATGGTTGAAGGGATGGGGATGGGGAAGGGCGGAGACCTACGAGATGGGTGGAAAAGGTCATAGTGGAGATGAGCCTCTGACATGCTCTGAGCCCACCAGCTCTGTTCCACCCTGCCACCTCACCCATCCAACGCCGCTTGCAGAACCCAATTTAACCCAGGTAGATAGATGCCTGCACAAGCCCCTCCCAGCAGCCCAGGCTGCATCAGAAGGCACGGTGGTTCAGAAGTGCAGATTTACCTCTTTCTGAGCTCTTGGGGTCTAGCTCCACCCCAAATGGGTTCTCCTAGTAGGTGAGCAGCTTCAGACTCTCCCTGCAGATTCAGTCCCACTGCCCAGACCCCAGGACTAGCTGAGCACCTGTTCCAGAACACCAGACCAACATCCAGGCTGCCCCCTCCCTGTGAGGCATCTTGCTGTGGTACTAGCTTCTTCCTGCACTAGCCATGAAGTACCTTGCTAAGCAGACCTGCTGTTTCCCCTCAGCCACTTCAACTGCCTCAAGTGTCCTGTCCTCTCCCCTCCACACACTGCTGCCTCCTGTGGCCAGAAACTGCAGTCTGTCTATGTTTACTCCACTCAGTGAGGGGGCTCTTTGCCCCAGAATAAGGCTTGGCCATGGGAGGCCCATGGTAGGTGCCCACTGTTGGCCTGTCCCCATCTCTCTGACTGTAGCATACCAGAGGTCACAGGTTCTCCTCAAGCCCTGGGCCCAGAGTACTGCCTTCACCTCCCTTTGCCCCTGTTCTTCCCCTTCCCTAAGACTTTGGGCCCCACATGGGGCTGTGTGCAACTCAGGCCTCCTTCCCCAGTGGTGCCCACAGGGACTCTTATGCACAGGTCTGTCCCACCTGCAACCACCCTAGGCCAGTGGGCACCTCACGTCTCCTGGGGTCCCCCACCCTCTCAGCCCCTGGGGGATTGTGCCCATCAGTGATCAGGGAAGAAATGGAAACGCTGCAGCTGAGGTCTTCCTAACAGGACAGCACCCCTAGCCCACCAGACTGCCGGGCACCTCACTGTGAGCCTCTTTCTCCTCCCTTTGGAGCTTGGAGTAGGACTGTTGGACAGTGAGGTCAGCAGTGTGCCTGCAGAAGACAGTGGAGCCTCCCCCAAGAAAAGCCAGGGATCTCCAGGCTGAGACAGCCAGGCCAGCTGGCTGGACCCAACCTGGAGTCAGTAAGTGTGGTGGCAGTGGCAGCGGGAGACGACATTTTGACTCTGGCTTCACTGTCTGGGCACCCTGTGTGGGCAGGACTGGCACCATCAGTGCTAAATGCCCTGGATGACACTGGCATCCACCTACCTGGGGTCACCCCCACTGCTCCCAGCACAACACCAGGTCCTCCCTATGGGGGTTTCTGTAAGAACAGTGGACACAGTGGGCCTCCCTGGGCTCCAGCTGGCCCCAAGTACTTTAATCCCCTCCATCCCAGGAGCCGAGCCTCCAAGCCTCGGGGCATGGGCTACCCACCCTGGAGGACAGAGGGTATCTCTGGGCCCTCTGCTCCTCGCCCTGTGATTCAGGACCTAATCCCCCTAATCCCCCTGGAGGTGGCTGAGTCCAGACCAACCTGCTGACTCACTGTGCAGTCAGCACGTCTGACCCCCACTCCACCAGCCAACCCCGCTCGGCCTGGCCAGGAGGGCCTGGGAGGACCTGGGCAGGCAGCCACAGAAGCCCCACCTCCACGGACGCCCCTGGCCTCAGCATTCCTCTGGGGAAGGACTACTTTGACACCAGGTCTCCTAGGACCCAGAGCTATTCCCAGTGGCCACCCCAAATCATACAGTCAGTGTGTGGGTTCCCCAAGGCAGGACACAGCATCCTCCCCCACCCCACACATGCAGAGCAGGCACCAGAGAAGTTGCTCCCAGCTCCTGAGTGAGCATGTGGGGGTGGGGGCAGGGAGCCACCTCCACAGCCTGGGCTTCTGGGGCCAGAAGGTCAGGGAGAGAACTCCCATCTCATATGCTTAGTGAGAGCCACCTCAGCCTCAGCAGGTGTACAAGCTGCCCCTGGCCTGACAAGTGTAGGCAGAGACCCTGAGATTCTCTAAAGCTGCTGGGGACTATGCTGATGCCCTGCTCCCCACCTTGGGCCTGCATTCCCTACCCTTCATGTGGCAGACCCTGGGGGTCTAAGGAGGCCCACCCAGATGCAACAGCCTCAGAGCTCTACTGCAGCCCTACAGAGCAGGCATCCCTGGTCAGCAGGGCCAAGTGCTCCAAGCACACCGCCAAGGACTCCACAGCTGCCCATGTTCAGGTTGACTAGCAGAGGGACCACACAAGGCAACCCCTGGGCTCAGGGACACATGCAGTGGCCTCCTCCTTCCCTTGCCACATTGGCAGAAACAGGCCTCAGGTGGGGGCCCAGCAGGACCTCAGCCCCAACCTCCCAGGAGGCCCCTCCTCCCTCCAATGGAAACCTGCCTGGGATGGATGCTTCCTATGGATTCCCAGAGGCCCCAGCTGGGCACTTGCAGGAGCCTCACTCTAGCACTAAGACCCCCATCCAGAGTTGCTCCCCACCCCTCCCAGGGCCCTGAATTCCCATGATGGGAGGTGTCTCCAGCCTGAGAGCAGAACCCTCCTGGCTCTCTCCCTACCCTGCTGCCTTCACCCTTCCAGAAAAAACTTCAAGGGCAGTTCATAGACCTTCGTCCCCCAGACCACTAAGCCTGGCTTCCTGCTCACCACAGGGAAATTCTTTCCTGGAGTCAGGTGTCACTACTCCTCTGGCTGTCCCCACTACTGAGCCAACAGGCCTAAAATAGCCCCAGCTGTCAGCGGGAATCCATCTCAGCCAAGCTGGGGGCAGGGCTAGATGGACCCCCAGGCCACCCTGGACTGAGATGGGGCACATAGCCCCAACCTTCCAGCCTGGTTGCTCCCTTCATGTGTGGGGGCCCAGCACAGGTCACTAGCGGGGCAGGAGCTGGGATCCAGGCCCCCAGCCAGGGAGCAGCACAGACTAGCCAGACCCTACCCCAGGTTCCTCTGTTGCCAGAGCCATGACCTTCAACCAAACCACCCTGCTGGGGGGCTCATTGGATGGCCCCTACCCCTGCCCACTCTGCCTTCTCACCTGTCTTAACCAGGAACTCAGAGCAGCACCCAGACCAGGGGCTCAGACGGTGGAGCAGGGGCCACCAGGTCTCACCCCACTCTCAGGGCCCAGGACCAACACGGATCCTGCCCGGCAGCCTGCACTCTGGCCGGCCCTCAGACTGGACAGGGACAGAGGACAGGCGGACGCTGTCAGCTGGAGAAGGCTGGGCCCGCCCCTACCCTGCCCCCACCACCAGCCAGGCAGCCCAGCCCAGCTTCAAAATAGCCTGGCTGTCACTGCCCGATTGGGTTTCACCCCAGGCCCTAGGTGGGCAAAGGGCAAAGGCTCAGGGTGGATGGGGGAAGGAGGAGTAATGGTGCTGGTGGGGCAGGGGCCCCAGCTGGTTGGGACCCCTCCTCAGATCAGCACCTTGGAGTGCAGGCTGGGAAGGAGCCCAAGAGAGCAGGGACCACCCCCAAGAGGGACCCAGGACCACCCCCTCGGGATCAGAGACCATCCAGGGGCAAATCACTGGCTGAGCTAAGACACTGGTCACACTGGGTGACCGGTCTGCACTCAGACCATGGTTTCCCCACCAGCACAGAGGGAATGCAGGGGTGGCAAGACCTGGGCTGAGTGCTGGGCTGGGACACATGCCCGATGCTGGGTCAGGGGTGGGGGCTAGGTAGGGGAACAGAGCAGCACCCCATGATGGAGGTCAGCCCATGGTCACCCCAGCAGGGAATGCCCTGGGCTCAGGGAGGGTGCAAGGACTGCCTCCAGGTCCTGCCCTGGCTCTGCCCTCAGAGGAGGCTCCCTGCAGGGGGGACCTCCTCTTTCTGACAAGGGCCCTGGGGACAGGGGCTAGCTCCTTCCTAGGAGAGGCCCCAGGACTCCTGCCAGATGGTCCCTTTGACTCCAGACCAAGCTCACCTGCCTTTCTGAGCAGCCTGGAACTCTGACCTCTTGTCCTTGGGCCAGGGCCATGGAGACAGTGAGGAGGCAGCCCTCCTAAGGCCACCAACATCATCTGCCCCTGCCCACATCCTACCTGCCCACCCCCAGGGCAGACCCCTATACCCCTCCTGACCCAAGCCTCTTCTTGGTCACCTGGGGAATGGTTCCAATGTCTTGGTCATCTTGAGTCGTCATAACAAACACCATTTATGGTTCACAATTCTGGAGGCAGGAAAGTCCTAATGAAGGTGCTGGCAGATTATTGTCTACTGAGGTTCCCTTTCTGGGTCACAGAGAACATCTTGCTGTGTCCTAGTGTGGTAGAGAGAGAGTTCTGATCCCTCCTCTTCTTGTGGGGACATTGATCCTGCCGTGTGGGCCCATCTCAGGACCTCAACTAACCCTACCTCCTCCTAACATGTCACAGTGTGGGGCAGAGCTCCAACATGTAAATTTGAGGGGACACATTTGATCCATAGTACCCAGGAAGAAAGGAAAACTCCATGGGAGGTCTTACCCTCTGCAGTATGGCCATTGGGGACCCACAGCTGCTGCACGTGTGCACCCTTGCACTGCATACCTTTGGAGGCTCTACCATGGGAGGCCCAGGGAGGACGTTCATGCTGGCCTAGAAAAAATGAGATCCAAAGGAGGCTCAATGTTGGCATGCTACCCATTTTACATAGAACTGAGAGGTGAGAGCAGTGAGGGGAAACCCAGAACAGCCCCAGGAGGCCAGCCCTGCTTTGTCAGAAGCTCACAGATGCCCCCCACCCGCACCATGCCTCCTGTGTCCACTGGGTTCTGCCATGTGTCTCCTCAAAGCATATCCACTGCACAGAGCAGGGGGAAGTCCTGCAGGCTCCCCAGTGGCTCTGCCCACCATAGCACAGCAAGATTCCTGAGGGGAGGGTACTGGGAGTGACTGGGGCACAAGGCCTCATCTCCCCACCCTCATTGGGTTGCACAGCAGGAGACACCGCCTACCAGCTGTCTGCTCACCCAGAGGCCTGATGCTTTGGGAAAACTCAGGTAATCATCACTATAGATACTGTATTTTTAAGACTATAAGATGCACTGGACCATAAGACACACCTAGGTTTTAGAGGAGGAAAATAGGAAAAAAAATTTTTGAAGCAAAAAATGTAGTGAACTATTTAATAACCTGTGACCCCGCTCCATCACCAACCCTCCACAGTGAGCCAGGTAAGCTACATTTGGACTACAAGATGCACCCCTATTTTCCTCCCAAATTTGGGGGGTGCTTCTTATAGTCTGAAAAATACAGTATTATTGTCACAAGGAGGTCCTGGTCCCACACCCTCCTCCTCTATTCTCGTTCTCTCCTGTGTCCCCTATAGCTCACCCTCTTCCACCCCCATCCTCCCTGCCATGTGTTCCTACAGTTCACCCTTCTTTTTTGTGCTATCTCTTACTTATCACTCTTCCTGGGTTACTTATCCCATTCAGGTCACAGGATAGATCTCTGTCTTCAGTCCTAGGAAATGGGAGAATAAGCATCCCTTGACCACTGTGCCTTTAAGCCCCACTCTACTCTTTTGCTTGTGGACGCATCCCACATCACCAGCTACAACCAGTGGACTCCTGTGAGTGCATCCCTGGGCATTCACTGAATGTTCACACTCTTCTTTTCCTGTTCCTGCAGGGGATCCTGTGCCTTAGGCCAACGTGTTGTTATCAATGATCCATGAACCATTGCAGCCATGGAAACTATGAGGTTTATTTCACTGGTCTTGGCAGTGAGAGTGGACTCCTCTTGCCCACCAGGTCCTCAGGGGCTTAAAAGGTCTGTCTGTTTGTCTGTCTGTCTGGAGAGACCCTTGCATGAAGGTCCCTAGGCCCTGATGACCTTCTCTACCTACCATGGCCCTCAGGCCAACACTCCCATCATCAGGGAAGTGGACTCAAAACCAAGTGCTTTCCAGGGTGTCCCTCATGTCATTATACACGAATTTTTGTGAAGGTGCAGTTGTACATTCTGGGGGAAGAGCATTTAATTCCCTTGAAATGTGACAAAGGGAAGATGTTTATAGTGCATAACTTGCTTGTGAAGCCAGTGCATGTCCCATATGGGAAACTTCCCAGGGCTTCACATGATGATTTCAGTAGGTCCCCAATCACAGGCTCCTCCTTCTACAGCAGCACAAACTGAGGCACAGGGCGATTGCCATGATGTGGTCAAGCTTACACACTGACAGGGCTCCACTGGGTTTTTCCTGAGTAAAGATGACAACAGACCAGGACAGGGCAATGGGGTGAGCCAGCATCCACTTGGTGTGCATGGCATCCTGGAACAAAGAAGGGACATTAGTGTGCAAACAGGTGAAATTCAAATAAAGTCCAGAGCTTAATTTTGAAGAACCTAAGAGCCACAGAGCCACAGAGCTGGCAGAGCCACAGAGCTGGCAGGTTGTTGCCATATCTGAGACTTTATCAACCTGGCCAACACAGTTTGTCCTGTCCTAGAGATCCCTGAGACTCCTTCCCACTCAACTTAAGGAGCCACCCAAACTGTTAACCATGACTTTTCCATATGAATGGATGGTCTGGCTTATACTTCACAATTCCCTAAATCCTATGAAATAAGCAACAGCTGGCTCTAGTAAGCTTCCAGTCCCCTGCACCTCTTGCTAAGTGGCCCCAGGCCCGGCACTAGGAGCAGCCACCCTAGATTCACAGCCTGACTTCACGAGGGAATCTCCAAGCCCAGCACAAGTAGCAGCCGCTTCAGATTGCTTTACAGCTCAGGCAGAGTGGCCCTGGGCATAACATAGGTAGGGACTGACCTTGGCCTGCACCACCCAGGAAACTCCAAGGCCAGCGCACCCAGTGGACAGCTACAGACCATGTCAGAGCACCACCACCCTGCCCCTGTACAGCTGGTCATCTGTGGAAGGTGGAGGATGGTGGTCAGTGGTCTCAGCCAGTCCTTGCAGCTGACTAGCCTCAGTAAATCCCTCCCATTGACCTGCCAACAGCAATCAAGGCTCAACAACAAGAGGAGGGTTTACTCAGCCTACATGAAGGGCACACCTCGAGTACCCAGCTTGGGTCTTAGGGGAGGTTGTGCCACTAGACCCTTCATGACATCTACTACATCAGAACATGCTACCAAGACACGGAGTCAAAGGAGCTCTACCTAATACATAGAAACAAATACAGGAAGGCTGCCAAAATGAGGAGACAAAGAAACATGACCCAAATGAAAGAACAGATCAAAACTCCAGAAGAGCTAAACAAAATGGAGATAAGAAATCTATTGGATGCAGAGTTCAAGACACTGGTTATAAGGATGCTCAAGGAACTTAGTGAGAACCTCAGCAGCATAAAAAAGACCCAGTCAGAAATGCAGGATACACTAATTGAAATAAAGAACAATTTACAGGAAAACAACAGTAGAATGGATGAAGCCAAGAATCAAATCAATGATTTGGAACATAAGGAAGCAAACAACAACCAATCAGAACAACAATAAGAAAAAAGATTACAAAATAAATGAAGATAGTATAAGTAGCCTGTGGGACAACCTCAAGAGGTCCAACATTTGCATCATAGGGGTGTCAGAAGGAGAAGAGAAAGAGCAAGAAATTGTAAATCTATCTGAAAAAATAGTGAAAGAAAACTTCCCTAATTTGGTGAAGGAAATAGACATGTAAGTCCAGAAGCACAGATAGTCCCAGAGAAGATGGATGCAAAGAGGCCCACACCAAGGAACATCATTATTAAAATGCCAAAGGTTAAAGATAAAGAGAGAATCCTAAAAGCAGCAAGAGAAAAGCAGTAGGTATTTACACAGAAGTTCCCATAGATTATCAGCTGATTTCTCAAAAGAAACTTTGCAGACTAGAAGGAACTGGCAAGAAATATTCAAAGTCAAAAAGCAGAGACCTATAGCCAAGCTTACTCTAACCAGCAAAGCAATCATTTAGAATCAAAAGGCAGATAAAGAACTTCCTATACAAGAAAAAACTAAAGTTCATCATCACCAAACCATTATACAAAATATTAAAGGGAATTTAAGGGAAAAATATTTCTAATCTTAAAGAAAAATAAGATCAAAATTATGAACAATAAAATGGCAATAAATGCCTATCTATCAACAACTGAATCTAAAAAACAAACTAAGCAAACAAGAAGAATAGAGATAGAATAATGGACAGAGAGCATTTTGATGATTGCCAGAAGGGAGGGGG